ACCCCATGTACTGTTATGATAACAAGCTCGTAATGCCAGGCATCTGCTAAAGCTCGGATGACAAGTGAATTGGCATAGTTATTTTGGAGTATTACTAAAGCTTCTGACCATGTTCCCGGCACTTGCCTACGACCCATATCTGTTTCACACGGGAAGGCCAGTCGATCATCTCCGTTGTCCTGTCTTATAAAAGGAGAACCAGACATTTCTATTATGACCACTAGTAACATAGGGATCAAATCAGTGGACTGAGAATCGCAAGATTCCGATGGTTAAAAAAAAAAAAAAATGCTGTGATGGCACGTTGTAGTGAGGATACAGAAATGCAGTACAGATTTTACTTTTCCTGAAGTCTTCAACCTTCATAAATTTTTGTCGCATTGTTTCTATTTTCTGCGGATCTTGAGCGATTTGAATAGAAAAACTTTTCTCCAAATAACAAAAATATGAAACAAAGTAGAAAATTCGTCCACCTCAGCCATTAGTATGACGACGACTTGGCACGCTGTACACAGATGGTGCAGATGTTAGCGCATTTTTCATATTTGACGCACCACCAATAGTTCTGGCAACTGAAGCGAGATTAGGATTTTTTCTGGGAATATTTCAATTTTAGGAACTTTTGTACCGAAATTTAAAATTTATTTCCCAGGGAAAGAGAGAGTACCCTGGGAGCGAGGTTGTACCGTTTATTCTCGTCCCCAGGGTCATCTCCGCTTTCAAGATGGTGGGCGGGCGGTTTATAGCGGAAGTCGGGCGCGAGATGTTTGTTAGTGAAATGATCGAGACATCCCAGACCAATCGCGCATCGAAGAAAAAAACAAATACTCGCAAAAATGGCTTGCATAACTCGCATGGCTGGTATGACTCGCATGGCTCACGCCGTGGCTCGCAGATTTGGCAGACCCTGGCCATTCACTTCGGCCACCGGCTAAGTCTTCCAGGCAGAAGTAATGAAGAATGGAGCAAACTAATCTTTTCGACAGATCAACGACTCAACCACCTTTTCTGCTGTATTTAGCGTTCTGTAATTTCTCTAAACACAGTATAAAACATCATGTGACTTTCCTAGCTTGCGCGGCTGCACATCTCGAAGCGCGAGTTAACTTTGGTAGTTCTGTAGTCTTCTGAGACAATTTGTCGGACATAACGCCTCCTTTCTCAAGCTCTCGCTAGATGTGCTTCATGCCATTGTTCGATATTGTTTTATCTCCTTTCTCTCTTAGCCCTGACTCACTCCAATTCACAGCATTGTTCAGTACTGTTTCGCCTCCTTTCTCTAGCCCCTGCAACGCCTGCTCTCTTTCGCGATCTTCCTGACTACTTCTTTGCCTGTTAATTCTTTCTCTCGACTCTTCTCGTTTACGTTCTGCCATAGTTAAACCCTCTCTTGAAAACATTATATCAACTCCGCTATCATTTGTTGACATAACAATATAGCAATGAGTTTTCGTTATTGCGCCAAGAAAAGATGGCATTCTTTAGCTCCCCCGTTCGGGTTACCTTGAGACTCCCCTCCCTCAACCCCACAGTCTGTGGGGAAGGACGGACGGACGGACGTTCGTACGGTGACGTCATAGCCAAGTTTTCTCGACTTGATGGGTTACCAAATTGTCCAAAAAATGGGGGCTCCGCTCTTGCGCCTTCGGCGCGAAGGAGCTCCGTTAATATATTGCTGAAATGATCCTGTTATTAAGCAAAGCATATCCTATATTCCACATTTTTATTTTTGCAACAGATATGTTGTCTTGACGACATCGGTCTCCCTTTTCCAGTCGTCTTGTTGTTAGAATTTAATTCGACAATCTCAAAAGGAATCTCGCCGCTGTTATTTCATATTGGGACATGTGGTTGTAGTGCTATATGGCGTTTTTATCGCGTCGAATGTCTCCCACTTCTTTTCTTTAGTCCTGAGAAGGAAATAAACCTCGTGGACGATACACGGATATCTATTTTCTTCTGTCACAGTGACGTCATATTTTCCCTTACATCACGTAAGTGATATAATCGTTGTCTTGTTCATCCCTATTTTCGGATTCAGGCCCTCGCGGGTGCAGTTGGTTTAGAAGTATACCCCGGACTGGGCTGAGCGTGTCTTGAGTCGTTCGTGAAGATTCTGGTCTCTGAACATCACCTGAGTCTTGCAATGCAGGCCTCACGAGCTGACCGCGACGATAGAAATACGGCTGGAGAATAAACGAGAAAAACAAATTAAATGAGACGTAAGACATCATGAAACAAATGGTGAAAGTAACATGCTAGGCACTAATTGCATTATGCATAATACAAGAAACAAGGGGTCGCTGTGATGCTGTGCCGAAGAAACAAAATTTCCCACCTTTAAAATGTAAAAACATTTTTATGTATATTTGGGTCATTCTGTTTTGTTTGAGTACGCCAATATTCACGCCTTGAACAACCCTCTACTAAATAATTTTCACGGATTCTCCTTCTTGTAAGTCAAGAGCGCTTGTTTCGAGAGAATGTACCACCGGAGAACCTGCTGTTTGAGAGAATCGTGTAACTGAGTATCAAAATACATAAAGAAAGTACAAATGCCGACTGATAACTGTGCTTAAAACTTTGAGGTGGCAGGAGTTCTTGATAAGCCTAAACTTAGTTTGTAACCCTAATATTTTAATTTTTTCCGGCCTGTAGACGCTGTTGGAATAAGTATGGTGCCGTTGGAATCAGTTCTTGAATCTCTGCCGACCGCTGACTTAAAATTTGCAGGAGGATCAGGTAGGTTATAATCTGTATATTGAGAATGATGAATGAAGACAAATAACCAAATACATAGGTACGATATTTTTTCACGACTTGCTCAAGGCTTTCATTTACAATTTGAGACAAAGAGACTGTTTTAAAATGCAAAATCGGAACACAAACTCACGTGAATCGTCGTTGTTAATGTTGGACATCGCCTCTTTTCTTAAAGGATTCTGTGTTTTGGAGACTGTGTACGGCGACGTTGTGGAGCCAAAATACCCATGGCGACACCAAACGAGCCTGACATGCAACCGACGAATAGCAAAAAAGGTACGATTAGGAATATTAACCCACACCCGAATTTCGCCACAAATCCGGCAACATCAAACCAGTGACTTTGCTACTACAAAGTATCAGGACAATAGACACGGCTTTTGATTGGCTAATATTGTATTTGGATTAGGTAATCGGGTTTAATTAAACATGACATTGACATTTCTTTTATGTGTGGCTGTTTTGAGTACTATACTGGTAGCGTTTTCAGCAAAACTAATAACGAGAAACCGGTGTAACATTAGATGTAGCTTTCATGGACATTTTCTTTTCAATAATGAAAATTTTAAGTTCTTTAAGACTGAAATAAGTTGTCAG